ACTCACAGAAATCCAACATGTATTTGCGGTTCTTCATTACTGGCAGCATCGCCATAAACAGGCTCTTCCAGATCTTCATTCCTGCAGGAACAGAAAGTACTGTAAACTACATACTGACCTAAGCTGTAAAAACATAATGAAATGAACATTTATTCTTCGATTTGTGGAGGTAAGCAACTGTTTGGTAATACAGGAAGGACTGGTAATATAGAAGGAACTGAGAAGCCTATTTAAAAACACACAGAAGTAGTAATTCACAATTTTAAAAACTGAGGGTTTAGAATACCTCTTTCAAGATATTTAAGTTATTTTAATATTCATTCTGCCTTCCACTTCTCTTTAGCATCCTTACAATCTCATCTTCTTCCCAGTGACTGCTTCTTGTACTAAAACAATTGTATAAAGTAACCACATCTTTACCCACCTTTCAGTCACTTGGTCGACCTACGCATTTATAGATTTTCAGCAGTTCATTTATTTCTTCCTTGCAGTTATATATTTATCACATGCTACTCAGAACTGTAAGTCACACTGTATAATTCTATTTTGTTATAGATGGTTGAAATAAAATTACTAATTTACAACTAATAAGCTGATAACACTATCTTTCAAGGGAGAAGTATATGGCGTTAAAATGCTAGAGACAATACAGTAAACTTGGACTTGTGAAGATGACAGTGGAACTGCATGTAAAAAGCTTCTTTCCTTTAAAATTTGCAACCTAATTTTCTTTCATTACTACGAATTAGCAATTTTGACAGCATATTCAGAAATTTACAATAAATTCTTTTGGACCATGTGGTAGAACAGGAATATTTCCAGCTTACTATGCATTTATACACCTGACCTTTTGCTTAAAGCTTCAAACACGCCACTGTCACTAGCCAGTGAATGATCTGAGAGACATGCTGAAACTCGCCTGGCTCTCCTCTCCGATCTTCTACCACTGTCTCCTCGCAGAGTTACAGCTGTTACAGAGAAAAACGTGAAGACAACATCAGCTCAAGGAAATCTCTTTAAAATTAAACAAGAAAAATTTCTTGTATAAAAACCAGTAGCAAAAGAGTTGTCACAAACACAGTTCATTGCTTTTTCATCTAACTTTAAGTTAAAAACCTAGAATACAATCAAATGGAGATTTTCTGTGGGAGAATTAAGGAAGGAAGTTTGTGGCTAATTCCTCTATTACAAGACTAAGCATAAACGACTGCATTGTTATTAGAGTGCTTTTCTGGTGGAATGATCCCTCCTGGAGGAAGGCTTACATTAATTCAGCATATGTATACGTGATATCCTAAACTTTGAAGAGTTACCTACTGAATATACAATAGGTTAAAAACAAACACAGAGACTAATTCTTCTAAGAAGTTATCTGATAACACAATGTGAGGTTTTGTTCTCATTTGTTTCCTAATACAAAGACTCAAAGCATACTGTTTATAACATCACATAATAGCAGCTTTTATTTACAATCTGAGAGGCATTATCAAAAAGAAACAGCGCTTTGCAACTCACTCAGACCGCTGTTTTTTTCAAATTCTTGCTGAATTACTTTGAAAAATGACTGGGGAAGGAGGAAGCAATATTCAGCCCCCTCTTGCACCCTTCCCCAAATCACCAGCGACACCGTAAATAGTAACTCAGCAATCATTTCCATGTTGTAAGAGTATCAACAAAAATGATGTTATACATTAGGTTTTGCACAGGTGAGTAGGCATAGCAGCTACTAACCCTTTAAGGTACGTACACAAGTGGTAATGCTCAAGAATTGCATGGGTAAGGTTTCAACACTTCAATGACAGCTCCTAACTTGAGTTTGTTTTCTTTCACATCCTAGAGAGAATCATCAGATTTGGGGAACTGCAGTTTCTTCACGGCACAGTGAAGAACTTTTGACAACTTTTCTCCTTTTTGTTTAAGGTTCAATGACTGTCCTCAAAGAAGAAAAGCAATGGCAAAGAGGTACCACTTCAGAGGCAGGGAAAGCATTTTATTTGCTTCTACCCATGTTCACAAAGTTAAAACAGACAGCATGGAAGCATTCTCAATTTCAGCAGACAGCCTTTGAAGTGACAGCAGCAAAGTGCACATGGGAGGCAAGCACTACTTACTACCCCTGACTAAGGATGAAACATGCCTTACTCAAAGTAAGTGTTCCAGGTTTTGCTAGGATACAGTTAATTGTCTTCTTAGTAGCTAGAATAGCTGTGGTTTAGTTTCAGTGTGGGATTTGGTATGAGAGGAACGTTGATAAAGTACTAATGTTATTAGTTGCTGCTGGAGCTCAAGGCCATCATGTTTGTCTGGTTCACAGCTGCATTAAAACTGGGAGGGAGAAGTGCAATAAATAGCAAAACCCAAAATTGGCATTTGGATGTGTCAATGAAATATTCCATATCATACCACATAATGTTCAGTATATTAACTAGGGTTGACTGGAAAATGTGAGTATTCTTTCGGGGATCGTTTAGGCTCACTCTTCTATGATTCTGGGATTGCAGTTGTGGTTTTGGGACTGTCTCGGCTCTGGGATCACTGGCTGGCACAGGCTGGGCATCAGTCAGCAGGTGGTGAGCAACTGCACTGTGTATCACTCAATTGTATATTCTGTTATTACTGTTATTATGATTTTATTTTAATTAGTAAATTGTTTTTATCTCAAACCATGAGTTTTCTTACTTTTACCCTCCCAATTCTCTCCCCTACTCCTTGGGGGCGGGGGAGAGTGAGAGAGCGACTGTGTTTGGCTGCAGCCAAAGGAGTGAAACCACCACAGTAACAACTCATTAAGTACCTCTGTTACATATTATCATAAGGCATTAAAAATAAAATGCTGGTACCTAATCAGTAAGTTTCCTTCAGCAGAGCACCAGCCCATGGCCTGAGCTCCACCTGCAGAGCCCAGCTGTGGTATGGACAGTGAGCCACCCCCCTGCATGAGACCCACCTCACCTCCCACCCCAGCACCACCAGGACAGGATGTCAGGACTTGAAGCTTGATAAAAATTTCCCAAATTAACACAACCATGCCGCTGCTGTCAACCAAAGTGTCTGGCTAAGGTTAGCTTTAACCCACTGTGGGACTGGCAGACAGGATGCACTGAGTACAGCAGTTCTGTGCCAGCCCAAGCTACATTCTTTTTATCAGGGCACCAACAGCACAAAATCCCAAAAGATGTTCCAAAAATCACAACACCCCATTTAGAGCTAAAATTCCCGTGCACCAGCAGAGCCAGTTCTCTATTCTTTTGGATCCATAAGTAGCCCTAGAGACCTCCCTTCCAAATTCAATGAAGGATTTAGTCATCTTCAGCTATGCAGGAAATTTATTTGCTGACCAGGAATATCCCAATCTGCATGTGTCTTCTCCGTGCCTGCAGAAAGAACCACCCTCCCTCCCTCCCTCTCCTCGCAATTACAGTATCTCACCCTTACTGTACATCACACATCATGCAGCGTTACTCACGTCATCCTCACCAAAATAAGAGCCAAGTTCAAGCTAGCTCACAGAAAGCACAGAAACCACGCTCCCCTCCACAGCCCTTGTACCAAGTGGTAGGTTGGTTTGGGTTTATGTTGTTTTGTGGGTTTCCCCTCCACTCTTTTTTTTTTTTTTTTTTTTTTAAAGAACTTCTGATTTGGTGAGCCCACCTCCGAGTCCTGCCACTGGTATTTATGCAGAAACTAGCACTCTGTAGAGATACCTTTTAATATGAAAGTTCCCCAATAATTTTACATCACTGAAAAGAGGCTGAACTTCACAAAAGTGTATAAATTCTGTATGAAAGTGCTCCTATAATTTCTGTACTAATTTCAACAAGTTACACTAGGATGACTTCTTTTTGTAAATAAGCCTTTGGCTCACCCCTCTACGTGAACACTTTGTGTAGATGTAGTGGACGAAAGACCTCATGGGCTCTGTCCTTTGGAGGTTCATGTTCCCAATTTGTCTGGAAGGAAAAATCAGCCTGAAGCACCAATATAATGTCATGAAAAACTGACATGTTACAACAGTGTTGGAACTTGGAAATTATTTGCTCACTGCTTGCATGCCATGGAAGCATTCGGTAACATGTAGACAACTCCAGAGAATTTGGG